ATTTTATTTATTTGTATGTGATGCTGAGAATTGAACCCAGTGCCTCACACACACATGCTAGGCAAGTGCACTACCGCTGAGCAATAGTCCCAGCTTGGGAGGATTTTWAAAAAAAAAWWTTTTTTTTTAGATGTTAATGGATCTTTATTTTATTCATTTATTTATATTGTGTGCTGAGAATCAAACCCAGTGCCTCACACAGGCCAGGCAAGTGCTCTACCACTGAGTCCCAGCCCAGCCCAGGATGATGTCCTGAAGAGACTAAAAGCATCTTAGGAGGCTCATGGGAGGTAAGCTGTGGAAAAGAGGGAGGAGGAGGCGCAGCAGGGAGCACGTGGCCCTTCATGAGGCAGGTGTGCAGCTGATAATGACAGGGAGAGGGAAGGACAAGCAGGTGAACTCATAGGGCTGTCACCAACCATGCTGGTGGCGGGAGGTGCATGACTTGGCCCTGAAGGCTGGGCTGAACCATGGGAGAGCAGGCAAAGAAGCATGGCTTGAGGACTGTCTCCATTTCTGTTTGATTACCATTCTAGAACAAGGCTGGTCAMCATATTTGGAGAAATTTAGCAACAATTTAGGAAAGAAATTAATTTTATTATGAAACAAGAGCTCCTGAAACAATGGCAAAGAAGAAGCTTAAAAATGAGGAACTCAACAGAAGCTGAGGACTTGGTAGGTTATGGTGGGTGGGGTGGAATAAGAACATTAAGGAAGTGACTATGAATTCTAGGTCTGCTCTGGAGAGTAGATGTAGCTACTAGATGTTGTCGATGGAAAAGCCATTCACCGATGTGAGAAGGAAGAGATGGAAGGTGGGGCATATTTTATATGGACACAGTTTGGGCAGTGAGTGCAAGTGTCACATTCAAGTGCAGATGTTCAGTAGACAGTCAGGCATAAGAACATGAAAAGTGAAAAAGAGGCCAAGGGAAAACAGAATTAAGGAATATCCCACATAAATGATGGCTGAGGTTAGTGAAATGGATGACCACCTAGATACACTGCAGTGTGTTAGAGGAAGAAAAATGAGTACATAATCATGAGGAGCACAGAATTTTAGGGTGATGAGACAGATATAAAGAGCTGACGAATAAACAGGAAATAAAGTTTTGGAAGAGTGTTCATCAGCTTTGTATCACTACAAACAAAATATCTGAAACAGGCTATTTATGAAGAAAAGGTCTATTCAGCTCACAATTCTGGAGGCTTGAGCCCAACATCAGGTAGCTCCAAYGGTTTGGGCCTTTGGTGAGCACAGCATTCATGGTGGGAATGTGTGTCAGAGCAAGTGCTCACATTTTGAACTATGAAGCAGAAAAAAGGGACAGGAAGGGTAGCTCCATTCCCTTTGAGGGCATTCCCCCAATGACCCAAGGACCTCCCACCAGTCCCATTTCTGACTAATACCACCCCGGGGACCAAGATTTTATATGGACCTGTGGGGAATGCTCATCCAAAGCACAGCAACAAGAAGACTGAAAAAAGAGGCAAAGGAAATTTTAGCAAGGACTGACAAGTACCAAGTAGCTTTAAAATTATGGAAGTCAATGTGGACCTAGCCAGTGCTCTCAAGATCCACAATTTAAGGAACCTCCTGTCAAGTCATGCAACTGTGACCCCACCAACAGTTCAATGCAATTAAAATCTAATACTTGAATAAAGATTGGTGATAACTTCATCTAAAAAAAAAAAAGAGAAAGAAAAATTATTTTGTATGTTAACWTGCCTGCTRTTGATTCTAAGTCCCTACAATAGTGAGACTTTTTCAAGCTTACAAGCATAGATTAGGGTTTTATCAAGACCCCATGTTATGTTTAAACACAGTAACGTATCAAGTTCAGTGAAAACAGCAATTGCACCACGTTACCTGTTTTTGTTGAACAAATGTTAATTTGTTAATGACTACTTTTCCTGCAAATAATACAAAGTTCTGTAGTCAGAAGGTCACCTGAGTAGCCTAAAACTCTCACATTCAAACCAAASAGAGTTAGATTTTAGATGGCAAAAGGGCCATTGGTTCTGACATGCCAGCTTCTCTTAGCAATGTATAGAGAAGAATACTGTCCAGTTGAAAACTTCTTACTAAAAATTCAAAACACCAACATTGCTTCCTAAGTAAAAATCCTGATCTTGGTTTTAAAGGAAAATATTATTTGTTCCACAAATTTAAAAAAAGTTCCTAATGACCTTTAAGTTTGAGATGTGGTATACAATGAAAGAAAAACTGCTTGTACAAGCAGTAAATGATCATTTTCAGCCAACATGGATTTTGCTGGACCTGGCCAAACAGAACAGAAAGACTGAAGCAACATGGGCAGAGGCGACTTACAGTTAAACATTACTTTCTGAGGGAGGAAAAAGAATGAAACAACTGTATGGAAAACATAAGGCAGACCCCTGGCATTTGTTTTGACTACTTAGGGTTCATCTGAAAGTTCCATACTGTACTTCATAAATGCCCCATGTCTATATATATATATATATATATATATATATATATATATATATATATAGGCTAGTATATAGGGAAGAATCAAATGGATGGGTGTGTCCCAGGGAACATCTAAGCTACGACGTTTTAAGATTATAAAAGGACTACTTAAACCTTTCAGTTGTATTTTACCATATTTCAAGGAGAAAATTATATTTCAAGGTGAATTTTCTGAACCTGGGGTTCAAGAGGGGCTCAGAGTGTTCCTATGAGTGTCATGCATCTACTCTGCCCAAGTTTTCCTGAATTCATAGCAAAACAAGTTTCCCCAGCTGTACCTTTTATTTATACCTTAATGTTAAACTTACAAAGGAAATATCATGTTACTAAAAATAGGGAACGATGGGGTAGGAAACCGAACTCTATATTTCCACAAAAGACTACCCACCTAATTACCAAACACTTCAAAATGAAGATGACTCAACTGTGAAGTCCTTGTCTGGTGGACTCTAAGAATACCTGAAACTAAAAAATCTGAGGGGATAATGAGTAGTGGTTAAATATCCCCCCACCAAGGGCAGCCTCACTTCCACCACTCTTGTCTCTATAGCCTGCAGAGTCACGGGACTATGCTTACAATCTGGGGTGAGCACTCAGTAAGATGTGCTCTCTCTGGGCAGAGTTAAGTCACAGCACATGCAAAAATCACCTCTAGAATGAAAGGGGCTCATCTGGAGAAAATGGAGTCCCATGCTCCCTAACCCTGAAAGCTGCTGTCACCGTAAGATGACAATTAGAAGCAAAAAATACCCTCACTTTAGAGGTCAGTTTGCTGAACTTTTGTTTAGCTTCAGTTTAGATTCAGTTGCAAAATTAAATTCAATGTGGAATCAAAATATATTCCACTATTTTATCATATGGAATAGTATGTATAGGAAATGACTCAATCACTTTCACTCATGAAAGCCTCTGGACTGTTCTGCAGAGGAAGAAGACAGCATAGACAGGGAAAAGCACTCCTCTGAACAATGGCCTCCTAGGTTCATCTTTCAAAACGAGGGCCAAACCATGAATTACTGCTAACAGCTAACACASATTTCGGGAAGAGCCAACTCTGAAATGTGTAGAACAAAAAATTTATTCAGAGATCTCTTGGATGCTTTTCTCCTCAAAAATAATGAAAGCAGGAAGAGTTCAGATGGAAATGGGGCTATTGTGGGTGAGAAATTTTTTTCTGAGACAAATAGCAAGGATCTGTAAATAAATCTCTAGGATTAAACGAAGAATTTCAGAAAGACAACTTGTTTTGTGTTTGTTTCTATAAATTATACTCCATCATGTCTTAGTATTCTATAATGGTTAAGAGACGAGATTCTATGCGATAGCTCAAAAGCTAGACTGAGACCAGAGACTTCATAGTGTGCTTCTTCCACTTCTATCTTTCTGCTTCCAAAGTAGACCAATGACTATTTAAGCATGTTTGGGGACATATTCCTTGGCATCCTGTTCTTGTTGGACCTGGCTACTCAGATGAGTCAGGATCACATTTTAACTTCCATGGGGATTCTCTTCTACCCAGCACAGTTCCTGGGGTACGGACTTCACTCTAGCTCTGAGGGTTTCCACAAAAAATCCTGAGATGCGATCAAGACAAGCAGAAGTGATGGGGAAAGGACAGTGAATGGACAGAAAGTAGCAGTGGTTTGTTTCTGTCAGGTGACCAGCAGATTTTTCAATTATTCTGTTTCCTTCATTAGCATACATGATTTGAGGCAACTAGATTTACAGTGTATTTATTTAAAATTTTATGGCCAACTGTCAATCACATTTTGAAACTACTTAATTTTGTTTGATTTTAGGCCTTGTCTCTACTTCAAGATGCCGCAGACAAAGGTGCTAGGGCGATCAAGTGCAGAGTTGACCAGTTATCTTTTGTGAGGGAATTTACCGACTTTCAATTTAATAATAAACTTTGGTTTTTTACATTGTGGGATCCTCAAATCCCTTTCCCTTTAGCTTGTTTAACTCAGGGCTGGTATTTTGACCCATTCCTGCAGAATACCTTTTCCCTACCATTTTCTTCTACTTTCAGAGCAATGGAAAATGTTTGTGCTATTCCAGTTTTCCTTTCTCAGAATTCTTCATTAATAAAGTAAGAGAAATATAGATATTCAACCCAAAATCTGCATTCTGTTGCTCCTAGCATATCATTTGCCCCCAAACAACAAAGACTGTCAAAAATGGTAATACAGCCACTATCACCTCAAAGAGACTGCTAAATTCAAATCCCTATGGCTGCTAAATGCACAAAGATAATTTCTGTTGATAATCACATAGAAATTAAAAWGCAAAACATAATAATATCACTGCACAGGGCCGGAATTTTTGCTGAAATATGTCCTCAGATACCCTTATGGCTTTGGAATTCTACCATGCTTTGAAAATCACTCATGCACGCATCTCCGCTTTAATTCTTGATTTCCAGCAAAATTTAGGAAGGAGTAAGGCTAGTGAGTATGGACCTGGTGTTATTTAAATTTCAGAAACCTCAGGGAGGTGCACTCACCKCCTCTCTAGCGGGCGCCCATCACTGGAGATGCTTCGAGGAATGTTGGCGGCTCTTTCTGGAGGAGGCATCTTCCCGTCACCTTTCCCAGCATTTAGCCGTGAGGTCATGGGACTCTGTACCTGGGTTGGGACTTGAGGGGAATGAGACCCCTTGTTGGCATTCCGCTGCCATTTGTTATTATTGCGGAAGGGAAATTTGAACTCATATGAAACACCTTCATTCATTTTGTACTCCATCACTGGCATGCGGTAGGTTTCGGAGCAGCTCCTATTAGGGGAAGGCACAGGGAGAAAAACAATTAATACTCCTTTCTTGTTGGTGGAACCACACTGATTCTCATTAACACTTAAAATGGATCCAAGACTTCATCTTCTGCCTCTGGTCCTCTTTCAGCCCTATAATTATTTTCCTTTCAAAAACCAGAAACCCAGGCAGTGCTGACCATGCTTTCCTTTACTCAATCCCAACTGTTGAGTCTCTAAACACCAAGAAGACACAAGGTCACCCTGGGAGTGGATACAGCTGTAGGAGACCCAAGGAGGACAGGGAAGCAGACCCTAAGAACACAATCTTGACAGAAACAAGCAACCAGCTCTGAACACCTTCACTGCATATCACAACTRGGGGCTTAAAAGGGGGTAGCCTGAGAGTGAAGAAATTAAGTTAGGAGAAGTCTTAAAATCCAAAGCAAAAGCTAAATTTAGCTAAAGAGGGGGAAAAACCCAATTATAGAAATACKAAAATTATTAAATCCCTGAGGGACAAAGCATAATCTGAAATCAGACTTTATTTTTTTAAAGAAAGAAATCTCTCATAGCAAGGCCGTCCCCAGGCAGCAGCCTGAGTGAAATTAATGGCAAGCGTAAATGTTTTCCATTTTACCATTTTGTGCCACCATCTGAAACTCAAATTCTCAGGAAACGGGAGCCCATTTTCCATTCTTTATGCCAAATGATGGGGGGAGGTATTGTCGGTCATAAGCCTGATTGACAAATTCTATTCTCACTAAAGCAATACCTCAAACCATGCATTTGAATTTCATCACTAAGTGGAAAAATGACTTCCTTCTCATAGGAATGTGAAGGATTGGGAAACCGGGTGAGTGAGAGGATTTGGAAAGAAGGGTTCACAGAGCAACTGTGAAACAGCCCTTCACAAGGCACTTTAGAAGTAAGGTAGGGAGAGTCCAAAACGTCACTGACAGGGAGACTAAGGGGAATGCAAACCACACAGAAAGCTGCAACTCTAATTTTAATGTTTCTAGAAGCCACATTAGAAAGTAAAACAAAACTGGTGAGATTATATATTTAATGTAGCCTGAGATATCTAAAACATCATTTTAACATGTAATCACTATTGAAAAATTACAGAAATATTGTATGCTCTTCTTTGTCTGACATGCATCCCACACTGAGCTAAACCTCAGCCACCTGCCATTTCTGCCAGTTCTGACTGCCTTTTGTAGCAGGGGTAACCGCCCACTGGCTTCCTGGTCTCTCACTTATCTCTGCAAAACACAAGAAAGATACATGGAATCAAAAAGGAAATAGGCACTGAAAAACAAAGACTAAAGCTGATTTTTAATGCCATGCATAAATATTCCTAAAAGGATTTTCATTCTATCATTTGAAGCAAAATTTAGTGTTTAAGAATGGTATCTAAAYAGATATAACTGTAATGGTTGGACACTAATCCAGCCACATTTCAGCATCTCTGAAGTGGATACCTACTATCTTTATCCTCTCTTCATATAAGAGGAAATGGAAGGAGGCCTGGAAGGATTAACTTGCCCCAATGTATACAGCCAGGAGGTGGCAGAGCAGGGGTTTAGACACAGAACTAGTCTTCCTGCAGGCCAGTTTTATTCTACTCTCTTAACTGAAGAACATGGCTCCAACCCCCCAGACATTATACACCTGTAGTGACTATCACATCTTATTCAAGGCATAGCATATGGCAAAAAGGAAAATTCAACAACTTTTACAGACCAAATTGAAGATTTGTGGCAGCAAGAATGATAATTCCAGTGGAAAAAGTGACAAATGGTGACTTGCTGAAACCACAAAATTAACCACTCACTGTCTTTTTCAGTCTTTTTTATTCTTTCTTTCATTTCTGATTTCTCATTACTCTCTCCTTTTTCTTAATCACTAAGAAACATGGAGAAATATTTGAACAGTTCTGGTCAACATTCAACACTGGACTCTTGAGTCAGAAAAGTCTTGTCTGAGGATAGCTTGGTCTCTAGAAGCCACATGACTTTGGCTCAAAAACAAACAAACAAACAAAGTATTCAACTTCTTTCCACCTGTTTATCTAAAAAATGAGATCTGACCCAGATAAATTCTCACAACCCTTCGTGTTCTACTGCAGTTTGATTCAGCACTGTCACACCAAAAAAAAAAAAAAAAAAAAAAAAATCTGTTTTTGTTTAAAAGGTTATTTGATTCCAAATCCTCAGTACCAAAAAAAGTAGTTTGGCCTTTATATGTAACTTGTTTTTTTTTAGCTCTTGAATGGTCCTTGATTGCTTTCTTTAAAAACCACAGGCTAGTGGCCCTCACAGAATAAACGTTTGTGACTCCTATGCAATACCAATTGAAACATCTCAGTTTCACCGGTTAGCCAAGTTTTTTTTCCTCTTTTTAAGAGAATGACTTTGAAAACTCAGAGGTCTTAGATGCTGATGGTCAAGAGCAGAGGGGTGACAGAGGCAGGTGAGGGGCCTCTTTCAAKCAGGACTGCTTCCCTCATGCTGTGCTCCCAGCTGGTCCTGTTCACTTCTTGAACAGCTACTGCACCCTCCCAGCTGCCTCCTCTTCATCATGGAAATGAAGTTGCCATGAGCCAGTTTGTATTCTCATGTAAAAACACACACTGGGGGGTCTGTATTCCAGTTGCCTTGAGGATGCCTGTGACCCCCCTCAGCTCCTGGAGGCCTGTTCTGCCTCACTCTGGAGCTGCCTTAAAGAAATGGTTGACAGAGAAGGGAGAGTGACTAGTCAAAGAACAGAGTAATTAGTTGCTAGGAAAACAGCAGTGGGAGTGTGAAGTGCGGAGGAGAAGAAAAAAATGACAGAAGAGCATTATCTTATTTTGTTGAACACTGTAACGGGTGTTAATGCTTCAATGGGTTCCCTTTGAAGCCATTTCTAAAGGGAGGAGGAGGAGCAGGCTTCCAGTCCTCCAGAGGTACCAGTGCACCATTTTCCACCTGCCCGGAGGAGCTGGCAGGGGCTTTTCTGATGGAAGCCACAGTGAAAAGGGTAGAGGATGGCAGTGGCCACTGGGCCTGTGCAGAGACTGACCCTTCACCCAGCCTCTGGCCCCAGCACTCTGCTAGCACACAGTGGCAGCCTGGCTGACCCTGAGAAGATGGCAGGAATGTGCTGCTGGGAGGGGAAGACAAATGTGGCTCACTTGCTCAGTGTTGGAGCCAGAAGACATGGGCCTGCAGGAGTGGGTTGTCTACCCCAGGTCTGCCTTCAGGGATGTCATGGTGGTAGCCTGAAACTGGCCACAGTGGGAATGTGTACACCACCGGAATCAGCAGTTTCCTCTGATTCCGGTTTATCCCTGTGTAAACAGTTTACCAGTTTATCCCTGTGTAGTGTGTAAGGCAGAGGTGGGTGAGCATACAGAGGAGCAGTTGTAAGCACAGACTCTGAAGTTAGACCTAAGTTTGCAGATGAGCTCAGGAAATAACTGACTTTTCTGAGGCTCAGTTTCCTTTAAAACAAGAGCAACAATAATAATACTATTACCTCAGAGAATTACTTTAAGGATTCAGTGCAATTATTCATATAATAGTGATTTTTCTAGGACCTGGCACATTAAAGTAAACTGCTTAGCAAATGTCACTTTTACCAACACACCAGAGATGATAAACCTAGTCTAGCACATTGCTGTAGATAAACCACCTCTTATCACAGTTTTATCGATCCAGCACCAGGCCTTCTGATCCATTTGTCTAGTAAGAACTGTTCACGATTTCAGTGTCAATATTGTTCCCCCGTCTCACCACACTCACACCAATGTACTTCCCTCTTACGTTGCCACATAAAAACCTGGGAGCCTAGAAATAAGGAAAARGTAGCATCACAAGGTCTATGGGCTTCATCTTTGAGAGGACCGCCTTCAGTCTACAGTTCTTTATCAACAACTCAACAACTCACAAATCTTGTTTTCAATGGGTTCCCTTTGAAGCCATCTCTAAAGGGAGGAGGAGGAGCAGGCCAGTTTATAGCTGCCTGTTTAGAGAGACCAAGGACAGCAGACAGGCAGCAAGCAGAGGAGTGCAGGGCACTTGGAGAGTGTCCTAGGTTGAAACCCCACTGCCTCTCAGGGCTACCTTGAGTCATGTTTTGTATCCTGATTTGGGAGAATACTAAATAAAAATATCTGTGTTGTGATGCTGCTGCTGCTGCTGGGGATTGAACCCAGGGCGCTGTGATGCTGGGAGGTGCTCCACACTGAGCTATATCCATAATTCTTAATGTCTATGATGATGTGCTTAAGGAAACCAAAAATGGCTAACAGGTTCATCAGCTCTAGTTAAACAAAGCAGGATATGCATATAGGGCATTTTCAGAATATTCCCACTCCTAAATAAGTAAGTAAATAAATAATGATAAGGTATTTTTTACTAGGGTCTTCTAAGAAATCAGCAGTATTAGGAAGTACTATTATAAGCAAAGTGTGGGTGTAACTGAAGTATGTTTAGGTTATCATTGCTGCTTACCTTTAAAGTAYACAAATAACCTATCCCAACTGTTTACATTCTGCCATCTGATAACCATAAACTGATGTAAGAGGCCCAGGGAATGGTCATTTTAGGAAGAAATATGATAAATAACTTTGTCTTGACTTTAAAAGACCTAAGAATTAATTGCCAAAGCTTAAGAGAAATTCTTAGGAAATAATGGCTAAATAAATAACAAATTGTTTAAAAAAGAGCAAAAACACCATGTGTAAGCRCAAAGAAAGAGGGAAATAAAAAAGCAGTTGAATAAATTTGTTCCATCAAGAACCCTCCCCAGAGGCAAAAAAATTAAATTTTCGACATTGCTGCTGGCTTGGCAGGAATTGGACAGGCAGGAGGGCCTGGGCTTTCCCCTTGGGAGAAGGCTGGAAACCAAACTGCTAAGGCACCAGGAGCAGCACCAGCGCATCTGAAGCCAATTCCCAGCACATGCAAATACAGTCAGGAAAAAGCCTGTAAGTCACGTTCAGCTGTCCAGGCTCAGGAAGCAGGGCCCAAAACAATACTTGTGAGTTTGGAAGAGCAATGAGGTACCAATGAGAGAGTGAGTGTCATGAAACATGAAAGAGAAAATCTGATGGGCCGAGATGCTGAGCATCTTTGAATGTGAAGTGGCCAATGCTTCTCAGCTATTGGTGCAAGGTGCTTTAAATGGATATTACCAGACATCTCTGTAGCAGCAACTTTATGCATCCAGAGATGTAAATCCTAGGACTGGCCTCAGTTACTTTTTCTAGCAGCTGCTGCCACATGCTGAAAGGGAGCAGTGTGCTAAGTGTGACTTTCCATGGAAGGAACTTTTACAATGGCATGTAATCCACTGCACTTCCCAACACCTTACTTCCATACTTTCTAGGAAATGTTCTACGTGGTACACAAAGCCTGCTGTCAAGTCTCTGCRTCAGCTGCTAACTCAGACCTACCTCCGTGGGGTGCAGTCTTCATGGGGGGGAATGATGACAACTTTCACTGTAACGGATGTTCTCAGGAGATCGATCATCTGCTCATGGCTCAGGGTGGCCACTGCCACCTTGCAGATTTCCACCAGGCGGCTGCCCTGCCTCAGCCCTGCCTGCCAGGCATAGCCATAGGGCTCCACATCTGCCACAATGCCCTCATAGTTGACATGGAAGCCAAGCTGTCCTAGCCCATTTCTTCGAAGAGTCATTTCCACTGATTCACAACCTTTTGAAACAAACTAGACAAGGAAACCAAAGTTATTGGGGTTGACCTGGAAAAACATTGCAAGCAGGGTTATTTCTGAATACCTACTGCCGACTGAAGGGTAGGCTAGTTAATTTCCCCTTTAATAGTCTCTATTCAATAGGCCAAAAGGAGCATATCTGTTGCATCCAGAGAGCTCAATGGTTTTCCTAAAGTTACAAGGAAACTTCTAACAGAGACTTAGGAGTTGGCAGCAAAAAAAAAAAAAAAAAACTATTCTGTTACTCAACTCACTTTAGAATACTCAAGGTAGCAGATACTCAAACAAAAATCTCTTTTCAACTACTATTTGAAATTGGTTGGGATGCAATATCAGTCACCAAGGCAGTGGGATCAGCTCACATTCAAGTGAGCTTCTAACAAACACATAGTAGATGGGTCCTCTCCCCCATGTTCGGATATTTTTCCAAATAAGTGATGGGAAACACAAACTGAGATAAACGCTGTGTCACTTCACATTAGCAAGGAATTCCCAGAGGTGCAAATAAGCTTCAGTAACCTGACCCTGGTCGGTACTGAAAACTTTCTGAAAGAGAAACTGCATTTGTGTGGAAGGAAAAGACTCACCTGCAGCCTTCTGACAATTTCTTTGATATCCTCATTGCTAATAAAACTTTCCACTGAAACACACTCTCCTCGCTCATAGAAGATTTTGAGGCTTGTGTCAGTGGAAGTCCACCCCAGCACGTCTCTGCAGGAACAGTTGAAAACCACACTCTTTGTTTCCTGTTCAATGAGGACGATGAATTCATTGGAGATCCCTAGGAGGCAGTCTAGTTCCATAGCCTTGGTGTAGTCTTTGGCACGGACTGCCCACACAATGGCCCCCATGCTACTGAGCTCAGCTCCTGGATATGGCTTTGACTTTTCCTTCTTCTTGGAGGCCAGAGAGATGAACGGAAACTTGCCTGAAGGGTCGATAGGGGTGTTGGTAACATTCTTTTCGGCAAGATCTTTCAGGTATTCCTGGCGGGTGCGAGTTGCCATGGCCCGAAACTTTTCTGATTTATGAGCAGCATTTTCTGCATTAATCACTTTGGCCAAAAGGAAGTCCCTGAACACATTTGACTTGGGGAAAGTGACCCCTTTAGGGATGGGAGGTCCAAAGGAAGGCACATCTCTGGACCTGGTGACAGCCACACTGAGACAAAAAAGCAAAGATCAAAGGCAAAGAGCTATGTCATTATTTCTCAGTTTCACAATATGAAAATAAAACCTATTTTCATAAAGACAGGGCTAGGGTGTAGGTGAGTAGTAGAACACTTGCCCTGGGTTTGATCCCCTACATTGGGGGGGGGGGAGACATAGCTCAAAAGAAAAATAACTACTCACTTTCACACAGGGAACAATGTACATTTCTGCTTAGTATAAGCATACTTTTTCATACAACTATATTTAGGCTTTAGAGAACATAAATTTTTATTCAGGCAAAAAATAAACAAACAAAAATAAAAAACCTGAAAACTTTAAGTTATAACTTTCAATTTTTAACAGATTAGATTCATATTACACATATGTAACTCCATAAAAAATTACATAGTATTTTGCACAAAAGAATATGTCAGAGAAGGAGTTTAGAATGTACATAGTTAGACTGATCTATGACATAAAGGATATGTAAGGAGTTGAAATCAGAGGTAAAATTCAGGAGATGAAAGATGACTCCAATAAAGAGATATTCTGAAAAGAAATCATGCAGAAATCCTCAAAATGAAGGAAGCAATAAACCAAATTAAAAATTAAAATGTAAAGTATCACCAATAGACTAGAACCCTTGGAATACAGAACCTCAGGCAATGAAGACAAAATATATAATCTAAAAATAGAGTTGACCACAGAGAGTTGATGAACAGAACTTCTAAGAATTATGCAATAACATTAAAAGACCAAATTTAAGATTTATTGGATAGATGAAGGCGTGAAGATACAAACCAAAGGAATGAGCAATCTTTTCAATGAAATAATATCAGAAAATTTCCCAAACCTAAACAATGAAATGGAAAATCAAATATAAAAGGCTTACAGGACCCTAAATGTACAAAATTACAACAGACCCACACCAAAYCACATTATAATGATAATGCCTAACATACAGAATAAGGATAGAATTTTAAAGACTGCAAGAGAAAAATATCAGATTACACAGAGGGGGAAACCAATTCAGATCTCAGATGATTTCTCAACATAGACCCTCAAAGTTAGGAGATCCTAGAATAATATATATACCAAGCTCTGAAAGAAAATGGACGCCGACCAAGAATTCTATATCCAGCAAAATTAAGCTTCAGATTTGAAGATGAAATAAAATCTTTCCGTGATGAACAAAAGTTAAAAGAATTTACAACTAGAAAGCCTGAACTACAGAATATTTTGTTCTCAACAAAATATTCCATGAATATGAAATGAAAAATAAAACAAAACATAACAAAACAGTGAAAACTAGCATAGGGAGCAACTACACTAAAGGATCAATCAATCAAAAGAGAAATTCAACTTAAAAATCAGAAATGAATAWAATGACCAGGAATATAAATAACCTTGAACATTAATGGCCTAAACTTATCAATTAAAAGTCATAGACAGAGCTGGGCATGGTGCACATGCCTGTAATCCCAGCAGCTTGGAAGGTCGAGACCGGAAGATTGAAAGTTCAAAGCTGTCTTTAGCAATAGCGAAGCACTAAACAACTCAATGAGACCCCATCTCTAATTGAAATACAAAATAGGGCTGTGGGGTGTGGTTCAGTGGTTGAGTGCCCCTCCTGAGTTCAATCCCTGGTACCCCCACACCAAAAAAAAAAAAAAAAAAAAAAGACTGGCAGATTAGATTTAAAAACAAGAAAAACAAGACCTAACAATATGATGTCTCCAAGAGACTCAACTCATAGGCAAAGACATCTACAGWATGAAGGTGAAAGGATGGGAAAACACATATCACTCACATGGATCATATAAACAAGCAGGGGTTTCTAGACTCATATTAGATAAAGTGGACTTCAAGCCAAAGTTAATCAGGACAAAAGAAGGAGATTTCATACTGATTAAGGGAATTACACATCAACAAGTTAGATAACAATTGTAAATATTTATGCCCCAAACAATGGAGCAACTACATATATCAAGCAAACCCTTCTCAATTTCAAGAATCAAATAGACCACAACACAATAATACTGGGTGATTTTAACACACCTCTCTCAACATTGGGTAGATCCTCCAAACAAAAATTAAACAAAGAAACTATGGAACTAAATAATACAATCAATAATTTAGACTTAATAGACATATATAGAATATTTCATCCATCAACAACCAAATTCACATTCTTCTCAGAAGCAGATGAAACGTTTTCTAAAATAGACCATATCTTGATGCCACAAAACAACTCTTAGCAAATAAAAAAGAGAGAAAATACTGTGCATTCTATCATACCATAATGGAATGAAATTAGAAGTCAATGATAAAATAAAAAATAGAAGCTACTCTAAGACATGACACACTAAATAATATGGTACTGAATGACAAATGAATAACAGAAGAAATTAGGGATGAAATAAAAAAATACTTAGAGGTAAATGAGAATAGTGATAAAACATACCAAAATCTGGGTTGGGGTTGTTGCTCAGCTGTAGAGCACTTACCTAGCACGTGCAAGACCCTGGGTTTGATCCTCAGCACCACATAAAAATAAATAAATAAAGGTATTGTGTCTAACTACAACTAAAAAATAAATATTAAAAAAAAATACCAAAATCTCTGGGACACTATGAAGGCAGTGCTAAGGGGAGAGTTCATGGCATTGAGCTCATTCATTAAAATAATAGAAAGTCCAGAAATAAATGACCTAATATTACATCTCAAAGCCCTAGAAAAGAAAAACAAACCAACACCAAAAGCAGTAGAAGACAGGAAATAATTAAAATCAGAGCTGAAATCAATGAAGTGAAGCAAACAAAAAAAAAATTCAAAAAATTGACAAAGTAAAAAGTTGGTTCTTTGAAAAAATAAAAATTGATAAACCCTTAGCCACACTGATGAAGAGAGAGAACTCAAATTACTAAAATTTGTATGAAAAAGGAAATATCATGACAGACACTCCTGAAATACAGAAGATAATCAGAAACTATTTTGAAAATTTATACTCCAATAAAATAGAAAACCTTGAAGACATCACCAAATTTCTAGAGACATAAAACCTACCCAAACTGAATCAGGAGGACATACACAATTTAAACAGATCAATTTCATGAAATAAAAGATGCCACCAAAAGCCTACCAAACAAGAAAAGGCCAGGATAAACGATTCTCAAGTGAGTTTTACAAGCCTTCAAAGAAGAATTAACACCAATATTCCTCCAATTATTCTATGAAAAAGAAAAGGAGGGAACCCTTCCAGACTCATTCTCTAAGGCTAGTATCACCCTGACACCAAAACCAGATAAAGACACATCAAAGAAAAAATCTTTAGACTAATATCCCTGATGAATATAAATATAAAAATTCTCAATAAAATTCTAGCAAATAATACACAAAAAGATACAAATGCACTGTAATCCAGTAGGGTTCACCCCAGGGATGCAATGTTGGTTCCACATACAGAAATCAATAAACATATTCATCACATCAACAGACTTAAAGACAAGAATCATATGATTATCTCAACATACAGAAAAAGCATTTGACAAAATACAGTACCCCTTTATGTTCAAAATACTTTAAAAAACTAGGAATATAGGAACATACTTCAACACTATAAAAGCTATCTATGCTAAACCCAAGGTCAGCATCATTCTAAATGAAGAAAAATTGAAAGCATTCCCTCTAAGAACTGGAACAAGATAAGAATGCCCTCTTTCAGCACTTTTATTCACAGTCCTTGAAACTCTAGCTATAGTAATTAGAAGAAAGAAACTAATGGGATACAAATAGGAAAAAGAAGACCTCAAACTATAATTATTTGCCAACAACATGATTCTATATTTAGAAGATGCAAAAAATTCCACCAGAAAACTTCTAGAACTAATAAATGTATTCAGCTAAGTAGCAAGATATAAAATTGAGACCCAAAATCAAATACATTCCTATGCATCAGTGATGAATCCAATGAAAGAGAAATTAGGAAAACTAACCCATTCATAAGAGCCTCAAAACAATAAAATACTTGGGAATCAATGTAACAAAAGAGGTGAAAGACCTCTTCAATGAAAACGACTGAACACTAAAGAAAGAAATTGAAGACGACCTTAGAAGATGGAAAGATCTCCCATGCTCTTGGATAGGCAGAATTAATATTGTCAAAGAGCCATACTACTAAAAGTATTATATAGATTTAATGCATTTCCTGAGGGGCTGGGGTTGTGGCTCAGTGGCAGAGCACTCTCCTAGCATGTGTGAGGCACTGGGTTTGATTCTCAGCACCACACAAGAAATAAGTAAATAAAATTAAAGTATTGTGTCCATCTACAATTAAAAAAAAAACCCCAATAACATTCTTCATAGAATTAGAAAAAGCAGTCATAAAATCCCTTTGGAGAAATAAGAGACCCAGAATAGCCAAAGCCATCCTTAGCAAGAAAAGTAAAGCAGGAAGCATCACAATACCAGACCTTAAATTATACTACAGAGCTGCAGTAACACAAATAACATGGTATTAGCACCAAAACAGATACACAAACCAATGGTACAGAATAGAAGAGACCAAGACAAAACCACATAAATACAGTTATCTCATACTAGACACAAAGGTGCCAGAAACATACACCAGAGAAAAGATAGCCTCTTTCAACAAATGGTGCTGGGGAAACTGGAAATCCATATGTAGCAAAATGAAATTAAACCCCTATCTCTCACTCTGCACAAAATTCCACTCAAAGTGGATCAAGGACTTTGGCACTAAAATAGAGATTCTGAGCCTAACAGAAGAAAAAGTAGGCTCAACTCTCCACATGTCAGCTTAGGAACTGACTTCCTTAACAAGACTCCTAAAGCGCATGAAGTAAAATCAAGAATGAGTAAATGGAATGGAATCAAACTAAAAAGCTTCTTAACAGCAAAGGAAACAATCAAGGTAGCCTACAGAATGAGAGAAAATCTTTACCACCTGCACTTCAGAGACAGCATTAATCTCTAGGATATACAAAGAAC